TAAAACGTGTACGTGTATGTACAATTAGAAATAAAACATAATTTCTGTAAGAATACAAATAATAAGTAGATCTATCAAATAACTAAAAACAGGATCGAAGATCATGGACAAGAGCTAGCAATTAAAAGTTACAATATGAACATTTACAATTATTATTATTAAGTACATGATTTTGTTATTCTTACGTGGTTGGGAATCTGTAGCTTCTTTTCAAAATGTGTTCCACCATCACCATAGATCTATACAAAATAAAAAATTGAACAAATTTCATTAAGGTCATCATTAAGGCTTCCAGTGTGGATGTCAAAGTTTCTACTGTATTTGGCTTATCTTCTTCAGAGATTGGGGTCGACCGATTACGAACAACGCCTGCTTTGGAAAGAAGTACAACTTTTGGATATTGATCTCCACTGCTGCACACGCAGGGTATAAGAGACAATACAAATAAGACTCCATCCAACAAAATCACAGGGAGAGTAGCAAACAAATGATAGAAGAATGGATGTTGACGATGAAGAAGCGCAATAGCGGAGGGGCCGTGTAATAGCGAACTGTCGGGGAATATGTCTTTGAAGTGCGTCGATCACAGCTGTTGAAAACCAACCAATCACAAAGGAGTATCATGGTTCAAAAGATGAAGCGTATCCAGTTGACTTAACCGCCTGAGGAGGATCAACTGGTTCATTCGAAATGTCGCGATCCACACTGTAAGCGGCTACATCTAGAGATAAAAAACAATCACTCTTCATTACTGCTTTGACATGTGTTACCTTCCACTGTTCTTCCTTGTTCCCATTTCGCTTTCTTTCTGCAATGGCAAAGACACAACATTAGCTCAGGGAGTAACTCACCAAACGTTACGTAACTAAGAATAACCTTACCTCAATTTGAGAGAATCGTCTCGGTGATTTACGGCTATCCACCTGGTCAGACGAGGAAGACAAAAAATTAATCATCCGGTTTGTCCTTTTGGCGCCAAGTGACATAGCCTGTTTCAGGCTATTCACTTATTTCTTCTGCACCTATCTTCAGATTCTCATTTGTTCTCTGCAGGTAAGTTTTGTTTTGTCAACCACATAACTAAACAAAATGTCCTTTCTTAGCTGGAAGCAAAGAGAAGATTGCATAAATAAAAGGATGAATGAAGGACGGATGGAATTCTGAAGGAAGAAACACGTCTACCCTACTCTGCAGTAAACCCAGAATATGCTTTCATATTTTATCAATTAAAGTCATTTTTATGGTCCATGCTCACCTTCCATCCAAGTACCGTGACAGTTCCACAAGCATCAGGTGAATCAAGGGGACTGGAAAGAAAAAAGGATACACAAACAAACAAACTATGATTAGAACAAGTCTTACTAACTTATGGCTCTTGAAAACAACTATTTGTTGGAAGCACTTACGTCAAAGTTAAGAGCAACTTTTGATCCACTGATGTTAAAATGTCTCCCATGGTACACATCGCTTGTCCCAACAACGACATCTGTTGGGAATATGGAAATTTAGTTTGGATAACAGAACTATTTTTTACTGGCATCAAAAGCAGGCACTTCATGTTCAGTCCACTAATACCTCTTCTTTTTCTCTGTCCCTGACATCAAACACTGCTAATTTCAAACGAGTCATCTCATTCATTGTTCCTTCTGGGAACACCACAGTGGTCAGAAAATATGGGTCGCAGCTTTGCTGAAGATATTCAAAGGAAACACATGATAACATAAGTGACATTATAGTCTTTGATCCTTCGGAACACTGTTAACATGTACATTAAGAATAAATGTGATGTCCAGCCTACAAACGCAAGGCAGCAACACAGCAACTTATACCTATTTTTGTTTCCATGACAAGTAGAAAAGATTTTGGTGAAAATTTGGAATTCGGGGAGCAGGGATAGCGCAGTGGTGAGAGCACTTGCCTCCCACCACTGTGGCCTGGGTTCGATTCCCGGACCTGGCGTCACATGTGGGTTGAGTTTGTTGTTGGTTCTCGTCCTTGCTCCGAGGGTTTTTCTCCGTGTCCTCTGGTTTTCCTCCCTCCGCAAAAACCAACATTCCAAATTCCAATTCGATCTGGAAACAGTGGACAAGAAGAGCCACCCAGTGGAATGTCCATTGCTAAATTATT